CTGAGGCATCCAAAACCGGACTCCAGTGATGAGACGGTTACGTCCACTCAGTACTGGCGTTAAAAAATCACATTTTCATTAAGGTTTGAAAAAAAAGCAGAAGTGGAACATCCGCTGTGGTCTCTCTTCTCGGGGGGATGACACCCCTGGGAATAAGAGGCATGAGGCGCCTGGCCCAGCCCTGCAGATGGCAGCCCAGGCCACCGTCACCACTGGCATCAGTTTCCTCCCTCACTTCCCATCCCCCTGCCGGGGCAGGGCTGTGCACAGGTGGCCTGTGTCAGGCCCTGCTCACACCCTCCTCCAACCTCGGGCCAGTAGAGAGCATGCCCTTCTAGAATGATCACCACGGGGGGCCGCCCTGGACACCGCGGGACCAGGTGGACAGTGGTGGAGGAGTCTGGGGCGGGGGCCGCGTCTCCAGTTTTTTCTCCCCACCCTGCTCCTCAGAAAGTGTCTCCCTGGGGCGGGTTGTTGCGAATCACTCCCACAGCCACAGCTGCCCCTGGTCAGAGAGCGGCCCCGTATCAGGCTCTGGACCAAGAGCTTTAAAAAAGCTGCACTGGCTTAGTCCTCACCACCACCTGCGTGCAGGTGGCTACCGCCCTCCCCCTTCACAGACTGGGAGACTGAGGCTCTCGGCGGTTAAGGCCCTCACCTGTGCGCCCTCAGTGGGGAGCGGCAGGGAGACCTGAACGCAGGAGCTCACTGTGCCTCCCTGGACCCTCTGTGGCTGGGCTGCGGTGTGTGGATGTTCGGGAGGTCCTCAGGGGCAACCAGTCCCTGCTGTGGGATCCAGAGCTGAGGGCCCAAGGGTCCACCCCGCTATTCTGTGGGAGCCCCCTTGTCCCACCATGTTTGCCTCACCTGTCACTTACCGGCCCTTGGCTTTCCCCTGTGTGCAGTGATCATCACGACCTTTGACCTCACAGACCTGCAGACTCTGGATCATACCAGGCAAGTCTGGGACTCTTGGCCCCTGGGGTCCCCCGAGCTCCCCAAACCTTGGCTGTGACCTTGGCCCTTGACTGGGGGTGTGAGCGACCAGGCTCACTGATCAGAACCAGCCATCCACAGGCCGATTCCTGCCCCGTTGCCTTTTTATCCCTCAAGTTCTGCAGCTGTCTCTGAAGGTGGAGTGGCTCACACTGCCTTGGGGCTCTGCTGTCACCACCTTGAAAGCGTTAATTTGGAGCGGGGGGCCTGGCATCTTCACCCCCCATGGGCCTGTCTGCAGGGATATGACTGGGCACTTGCTGCCTGGGACGGGGATCTGCTCGGGTGTGCTGGCCACGTGACTGCCTCTGGAGGCCCTCCTGCTTCTGCCAGGACCAAAGCCCCTTCACCCCACTTCTGTTTGGGGCATTCACACCCACATCTCCAACCCTGTGAGGGAGGCCGGGCTGGTCACTCCAGTTGGTGGCAGGGCAGGACTCACCCAGGGTGGAGCCGCAGCTAGGAGGTGGGCTCCAGCTCCCCTGATGGTTCCTTGCGTCCCCACGCCGCACCCCCAGCCCTGCGGAGGACTGGGCTGCACCCCGACCTGGTCATCCTGGGCTCCTCGGGGTGGGAGGTGCCATCTCAGCCTATCCCCCGCGGTCCAGGCAGTGGCTGGAGGATGCATTGCAGGAGAATGAGCCGGGCACCTGCTTCCTGTTCCTTGTGGGGACCAAGAAGGACCTTCTGGTGAGTGGAGTGGAGACGCCTGGGGCGGCCTTGGAAAATGTGTCCTTTCCCACCTAGTCGAGGGACGGAGGGTGAGGCCCATGTGCCTAGGTGGGAATTTGCAGACTGCAGGCCCGGGGGCCGAAAGTGGGGGCACGCGCATTCCCTGTGCTCGTCCCGTCAGGGCCGCTGGCACCCAGACTCTCCTGGGACCGCTGGGTCTCACCTCCAGGCAGGCACCCACCCCAGGGAGACCTGGGTAGCTGGGTCAGCAAGGCTGCTTCTCCCAGTCAGGGGCGGCGTGTGAGCAGGTGGAGGTAGAGGCTGTGCGCCTGGCCAACGAGATGGAGGCTGAGTATTGGTCAGTGTCCGCCAAGACCGGTGAGTGGGTCTGGGCCTGGGGGAAGCTGTGGCAGGAGCGTGGGTGGAAGCACCACCCCCAGCCCCACAGGAACAGAAAGGTCCCCAAGCCTGTGAGCACCTGCCATCTTACTGGAGTAACAGCACGTTCCCTGAGAGCTCCCTGTAAGCCAAGCAGGACTGCTCTGTGGTTGCACAGGTTGTTAGCTGTACAAAGGCAATATGTGAGTTGGGCATGGCCTCGTCCTCCTGGAGGAGGATGCACAGAGTGTCCGCATGGGGGCTGGTGGTTCTAATCCTCACCACTGCCCACTGGACAGGTGCTCACAGGTTACAGGAAAGCAGGCTCATGTCTGATCTCCGCACAGCCCGGCGCCTGGCCCACAGGAGTGCTCAGTAGCAACTGATTGGAAGAGTAGGTGCTGGGAAACCAAGGCTCATTGATTTGCGGGAGTGGCCGGGACAGGTGTCCGGAATGAGGAGCCAATCCCCTGCACTGCCCTTCCCAGACATCCCCAGAGAGGCGCCGCCCTGGTTCCCGCACCACTGTCTCCCTCCCAGTGCAACTGCGGGTGAGAGCAGAGGTGGCCGGGGTCACGGCTGTCCCGTGTCCACAGGGGAGAATGTGAAGGCGTTCTTCAGCCGCGTGGCTGCCCTGGCCTTTGAGCGCTCGGTGCTGCAGGACCTGGAGCGGAGGAGCAGCGCCTGGCCGCAGGTCGGCAACGGGGACCTCATCCGTACGTGCAGGTGACAGGCTGGGCTGGGAAGCAGGCTTGCGGCCTGAAATCCACGTCCACCTCCCTCCCCTTCCAAGACCCAGCCATTCCCGTAGCTGGCCACCCTCTGCTATCCTCTCTGGGCTGTCCCTTTCCCCGTCCCTCTCACCTATAGCCTGCAGCCTCCCTGCCTGTCTGCCCGCTCAGCTATCTGCCCTGGATCTCCCCATCCTCCGGCAGCCTCCTCATGGGCCAGGCCAGGCATCCCAGGCCCTACTGACGTGTCCTGGCCTCGCTTCTCCTGGTCTGTGCTTTTTCCACTCTGTTGCGCCACCTGGAACTCATCCTGGGCCTCTTGGCCTGTGCCCAGTCACCAAGGCCTTGAACAAGAGGCCTAGGAGTCAAAGTTCAGGGCTCTAACCAGGAGAATCAGCAGAGGGTACCGGTGGGGGCCCTTGACGCCAGGTGACTTCTTCCCTCCTTACAGGAATGGAGGGACATCCGCCCGAGACCCAGGACAGCGAGAGGCCCTCCAGCCTGGGTTGCTGTTAGCCGAGCCTGCATCAGAGGCCTCTGTCCCTGATCCCGCGAGGGCAGTGCCTCCTGTGGCGTGGAGGGTGGCGTGGCCGTGCTGAGCCCCAGGGCTCCACCTCTCCTCTCTAGCGGGTCCAGAGCCAGAAGAGGCCCCACTGGCCACTCCAGGGCCCACGCTGCCCAGCTGGTGGGGGCACTGCAGTGATGATGTGGAAGTCTTGTCACACGTATGGAGCCACCCGGCAGTTCCCCCAGCCCAGAGGGGCCTCACGGCCGCAGACACAGACACGGGCCCCCAGGGCCCAAGGTCCTCTTGGGCCCTCTGCCCCAGCCTTCTTGGTTGACCTCGGAATCTTCTTCCTCTCAGTGGTCCAGACAAGCAGGACTTGTCAAAGTCAGCACATGAGGGTAAATCCACCTGCCATCCCGGTCTGGACTTTTCTGTCAGCAGCAGGACTGGCCATTCTGGACCTTTCCGGCCGAGGGGCCATCTCTGGCTCCTCCGTAATCTATGGCATCCTGCCCTCCTGGTTAATGGGCGAGGAGGGGCAGAACAGGCCACCCGTGCCCGTCTGGCCCTGAGACACAAGGTTCCCCAGCCCAGCTGCGCCTGGGTAGCTCGCTGCTACACCCTGGAGCGGGGCACTGCCTGCTCTGCCCCCAGCAGCCGTCACCTGGACTCTGTGGGGCCACCCCTCTCCGGACCCTTGTGATGGGGTCCATGCGTCTTGGGACACTGGAGGCCCTCCAGCACCTGTCAAGCGGGTTCCCTGTCTCCATCTCCTCCCTGTACACCCAGAACAGGCAAGCACGGCCCAGGCCCCCTCCCCAGCTCCTACCAGAGTGCCCGGCCCTCTCCTGTCCTCACACTGCTCCCCCACGGGGGCCTCTTGCCCCCCACCTACCCCGCACGCCCCAGCCCTGGGTGTGTGCCCCTTCCCACCCTCCTCAGCCACAGGTGGGTGGTACAGCCGGCGTTTTGCCTGCTTCTTGGAGATGGTGAGCATTCCTGGGGCAACTGTGTGGGCGGGACCATCTCCCAGTGCCCCCAACAGTGCTGGGCACACCACAGGTGCCCGGTGGGTGCCCACCTGCTCACAGTGATCGCCAGACAGTGGCCAGGGAGACACAGCATTCTCTGTCCATTCCCCCGTCACCAGATTTTGAGCTCTCCTTTTTTATAGACATAAGGTACTTCTTTATATAAATCACTCTTAAAGAACTTACGTACGTGCTTATTGTAAAACAGGACAGCACAGAGCTTTGCGTACAGAGCGACAGTCCCCCATGGCCCAGGTGTCAGCCTTGTCTTGATGCCCCCCATCTTCTAAGCAGAAGGGGCTCCCAGAGATGGGGGGTGGGGCCCTGGCACAGGTCACCCAAGGAGGCCCCGAGATGAGACACTCTCCCAGCAGCCCCCAGGCTCTGCCATCTGCTGCGGCCTCCCATGTCACCTCCCATATGTCAGGCAGGCAGAATGTGGCTGTCACGTGGCCTCCTTCCAAGCCTCCCCCCACATCCAGATGCTTCTGGCATATTCAGGGCCACCAGCCACCTGTCTGAGCCTGCGGCCCAGGAGGGAGCAGGCAGTGCCTCCTTGCTTGTAGGCCCTTCCCTCCGCTCCCTCATCCCCAACAGGTGGATGGCACCCCTGGCCTGAGGGTGCTCTGGGCCTCTGACCACAAGGAGCCACAGCCTGGACCATCTCACTGGCCGTCCCAGCGCCTTGGCTCTCTACGAGGCTGGAAATGCAGGCAGGATGCTATGCCAGGACCCCTCACTCTACTCATCGCAGCAGTGGTGGTTGAGTGACAGCTGAGGGGCCTGGGAGGAAAGACCCACATCTCACTTGTTGGAGCCGTTGGCCAAGGAAGTCCTGCAGAGACCCCTGCTCCCCACTCCGGGCCAGGGCTGGTGGCCTGGAGGAGGTGCCCCACCAGGCACCATTCAGCACAGCACGACCAGCAGGATGAGGAAACAGCTGGATCGATCGACCCCGTGTTCTGACCTTGCCCGCAGCTCCCAGGGGCTGACAGGTGACAGATGGGGGGTCACGTGGCCACATCCCACTTGAAGAGAATTGTCCTCCGGCTTCTGGCCCCCAAAGTGGGTGGGGATGAGGGTATAGACGGGGTAAGGAAGGACAAAAAGTGGCCCAAGCTTTCAAGTCGGCCTCAGGCAGAAAGCCCTGCTGTTGACACCACACGTGACAGCTGTCTGGTGGCACCATGTCGGGAGCCTGGATCTGGGACTTGGGCAGGCTGGGCCCCCACTTACTGCTGTGTGACGGGAGGTGGGGGGAATCGCTGCCTCTCTCTGGGCCCCTTTCCCCACCTCCTGCCCACATGATGGCTGCATGAGATTGAAGGAAATCACATCTCTGGAGCCCCAGGCTGGCAGCTGGTGAGAACCCCAAGACTGTGGGACTCCCGTGGCAGGGCCACTGCACCCCGCCACAGGCACCTTAGCGTGAATGAGGAAAAGGCACCAGGTGGTTCCTCAAACAGTGACACGTGGAATTGCCACGTGGCCCAGAATTCCTGTTCCTAGGAATAATCCCAAAGGAACTGAAAACGACGGAAAGTGTGCGTACACACTTGTTCAGGCATCGTTACTGACACGAGCCAAATGTCCCCCAGTGGATGGATGAACAGAATGCCGTCCATCCATCCAGTGGGATATCATTCAGCCTCAAAAAGGAAGGAGGTGCTGACATGTGCTACACTGGGTGGGGGGCCTTGAAAACGTGATGCTCAGTGAAAGAAGCCAGACCCCAAAGGCTTGTGTGAATCCACTGACAAGAAATACCCAGAATAGGCAAATCAGAAAGACAGAAAGGAGGTTGGTGGTTGCCAGGGGCTGGGGAGGGGAGAAATGGGGAGCAACTACTTCATAGGTTTCCTTTTGGGGTGATGAAACTATTTTTGAACGAGATACAAATTGGGGTCACACTAACGTGGATGTACCAGATGCCTCTGAACTGTTCACTTGAAAATAGTTTTATCTTATACGAATTTCACCTCAATTTTTGAAAAAAGCACTTCTTGCTCAGGACATTTGATATCCATCTGTTAGAAAACTGCCCTTATAAAGTGACTTTGAAACAACAAGACACCTTTTGATAATTGCTGTCACCACCAGGTGGAAGCTGGGAACGAGGCTCTCTTTGATGTGTGCCCTTGTGCAGTGCACGTCCCACCCCACTGTAGCTGGCAGCCCTGCTCAGGAAACCCCCGAGGAGGACAGGGCTGGCCAGTCCATTTTACAGAGAACACTTGACTGATGTTAGCCCCACATACTAGTGGGGCCTTCTGACTTTGGAATGGCCAAAAAAGGTTCTGGAGCTGGAGGACTGGGTCTCAGCCTGCCCACAGCTGCAGGTCTGACGTGAGGGTGAATCTGGCTAGTGGGAGGATTGAAGAAGATGCTAGAAAAATGCTCATCCTTACCACTCAGTGAGCATGACCAGGGGCTGCTCACATCCTGGAGCTGAGGACCCAAGGGCTGGCTTAACTTTGTTTTTTAATACAACAACTTTATTGAGGTTTGATTCACATACCACACAATTCACCCATTTCAAGTGTACAACTGAGTGGTTTTTAGTATATGTGCAAGGCTGTGCAGCCATCACCACTGTCTAGTTCTCAAGTATTTTCAAAAAGAAACTCAATGACTTTTAGCTGTCACTCTCCATTCCTCCCATCCCCTGTCCCCAGGCAACCACCAACCTGCTTTCTGTTTCTAAGATTTGTCTATGCTGCACATTTCCTGTAAATGGAATCATACAACTCGGTGGCCTTTTATGACTGGCTTTTTTGACGTAGCGTAGTGTTTTCAAGGTTCATCAGTGTTGTAACATGTATCGGTACTGCATTTCCTTTTAGGGCTGAATAACATTCATTGTAATATTCCGTTGATGGACATTTGGGTTGTTTGCCTCCCCGGGGTTCTGAGGCAGCCAAAGTTCTCCATTGTTTCCAGCAGAGGGGGCTGTTGGGTCCCATCTCTCCTGCCAGCAAAGAGATGAGATTGCCTTGGGGAGGGGTTTGCAGAAAACTGGGTCTGGGTTCAAAGACCACTGGGGCTGCTGCTGAGGGTACATGAGGGTGTCTGTGTGTGTGTGTGAGTGTGAGCTCACAGGTGTTTACAGGTGACAGAACTCATCAAATCACACGCATCGAATATACCCAGTTGACTGCATGTCAATTTTACCCCAATAAAGCTGTAAAAAATATGTTTAATAACTTTTTTAAATTACAAAAGATAGACAGTCATTATGGAGAATTCAGAAAAGCATAATGAAGAAGAAAATAAATGTCACTGGCCATTCGGGGACAGCCATGGAAGCTCTGGTGAAGTCCCCTCCGCCTGTTTGAACACCTTGGAAGGTGCCATGGGGCCAGTGTGTGTGCAGCCAGGGTCCAGGACCCACCTTGGCCCCACTAGATGAGTCTGCACCCTGCACCGGGAGTCCGCACTGGTGAGTCTGCACCCCTCGCTCTGGACTCCTGGGTCCCGGTCATGTCCTTGGTCAGCAACTTCTCGGGCTTTCTGCTTCTCCGTACCGCACCTCCCCAGTCCAGCCTCCACCCTTTCCTGATCCAGTGGCCTGGGGGACGGGGGGTTGGTTCTCCAGCCCTGTGGCCATACACACCAGCTATTCACTTAATAACACCACTCCCACTTCTGCCTCTGGTCTTGACCTTCCCTCTGAGCCCAGACCCACCCTCTCTCCATGGGATATCCCCGTGGGTGGACTCTGGGCACCCAGAGCCTCACGAGGCCACCCCTGGCTGCCGCATCACAGTGGTGACACACTGTCCATCCATAGCTGGTCCTTCCTCTCCCCACATCCAATCTGTGTGCTAGTCCAGGACAGACTCTTGTCCGACCCCTTCTCCCCATCACCTTGCTTCCACCCTTGTCTGGGTCACCAACGTCCCCTACCTGGACCAGTGCCATGGCCCTTGACCACTTGCCCTGTTCCCCACAGCCCCCAGCTCTCCATGTGACAGTCCCAGCACGTCACTCTGCTATGGACTGTGCCGTCCAGTACAGCGGCCAGTGCAGCTCTTTGAATTTGAATTCCCTAAAGGCACATCAGATTAAACTTTCAGTTCTTTAGTTGGAAGGAGCTGCATGTTAGGTGCTCAGGAGGTGCAGGGGGAAGCCGGTGGCTGCCAGGTTGTTCAGCATGCCCACCGTGCTGGAATGTTCTACTAGCTAGTGCAGGCTTTGCACCTTCCAGGTGCTTTGGGGTTTTTTTGTTGTTGTTGTTGTTGTTTCCATTTAGAATAAAACCTAAACTTCTTACAAGCCTGTGCAGCCTGGCAGCCCACACCAGCCTCGCCTCCTAACCCAGTTGCTCCCCAAACACATAGAACTGAACTCTCCCCATCTTTGCCTTTCTGTTCCCTGTCCTTAGAACCTGCTCAGCCGTCACCTCCATTGGCCCTTCCCCAGACCTCTGCCTCTTCCTGGATGCCCTCCTGCATGGCACACACACCTCTGCTGTGGCCTGTTCTGCCTGCCTCACCCTTACCTCCTACACATGCGTGTCTCTCTTCCCGGGCTGTGTGCTCCCTTGCCCAGCAGTGGTTGAATGCCTACTGTGTCCTGAGCACCGGGGGTTCACCGGGGAACAAAACAGCTGTCCATCCTTGGAAGTTTAGATCTAGCTGGGCACAGACACCAGATGAGGGTTACAGAGCATTATGTGTCTGAACCCCACTTTCCTCTTCATTCCTCCCATCTTCAGAGGGATGGATGATAAGAAAGCTCTTCGGGAAAGGACCAGAGACCCAGGGTGGGAGTCAGGGAAGGCTCCGAGGATGGGAGGAGTGTCCTTGGGGCCAGAAAAAGCTGTCCCATGGGAAGATAGCCACTATCTCAGAGTGTCCTTCTGCCCAGCAAGCCACTTGCTCTGCCAAGAGAACAGAGCCTGCAAACTGAAACCAAACGGCATCTGAGTTTGATTGGAGCTTGCTTATGCATGCGGTATTTAAGGTGCGGCTGAGTTGGGGCCTGTAAACCAGAGAAAGGGACACCTCTCTCATAGAGGAACTCCCCCCACAATGTATCCTTGTCTCTCCCAGGTGCTTAATGATCGTGTCCTGCTGAGCCCACAATTCCCCCTGGAAACGGAGGGACTCTGTTAGCAAGGGGGAAAACGCAGGTTGAAAAAAGCTTTTCGGATTCTCCCTGATGACTGCCAGGAAATAGGGTTCTGGAGGCGTGGGTTCTAGTCCCGCTGGGTCCACTCGCTGGGTGACGGGAGCAGGTCATCCAAGGAAGGCACTAATAGCGTTGGTGAGCTGCTGGGAGGTCAGGGTTTATGGTACCCATTCTAAAGAAGAGGTCACTCAGCCTGCGAGCATTGCTGGGATTCTGGCCTCGCTTTGCGCCCCCCGAAATGAAGGCATCAATTTCTGTTTCCACACCTGCAAAACAGGCTTTACAAGGGCCCTGTCTGCTTGATGAAGGTGTGGGAGGGACATGGGGCCTCCAGAGGGGGACAGCAGGAGGGTGGAGAGCCTGCAGGGGGTGGCGGTGAGCTGTGCCTGGAAGCATCTGCCAGTCCCGCCCCAGGGGCTGTCCTGCCAGTCTCCCAGGGCTCCAACACTAAAAGCAGTCATGGGAAGGCACAGTGGTGTCTCATGTTTGCCCCATCTGGGTGCCTTACACAGGGCACTTATGACATTTTACATATGAAGACAAAACTTAAGCTCAGAGGGGAAAGGGAATTGCCAAGGACACAAAGCCTGGAGTGAGAGAGACCTGAATCCCAGCCAGGCCGGCCTGGCCACTGGCCCTGGGTTTCTGTTCCTTTAGATTAGATGTCAGGGCATCCGCTCTGGTGGCACTGGAACCCAGGGGAGGGCAAGATAACACCTCACATCCATGCAAGGACAACAGAGGGTGTGCAGGAGGGAGGGGCAGGGAGGGTAGTATCCTGTTCCCATTTCAATGGCCAGGAAACAGAGGCACAGAGAGTCAGAGGCTGCCAGGACTCAAGCCCTGGTTCCTGGTTGACAAATCCTGTTTGCTTTTCCCCTCACCTGGCAGGCTGGTTGGGGTATTGTGACTTTGCGCTCCTCAGACTCCCTCCAGGGTGCGCTCTGCTGTGTGTCTAAGATCTCTGGGCTTCCCTGGAGGACAAGAAAAGATTTTGTTGCACTGCCCGCCTGGGCTATCCCGTCTTATGCCGAGCCCTGGGCGTCCCAGTGGAGGCTGGCGACCCCCTTAGAGGCAGATTACACAGAGAAGTTCCGAGTCAGGCAACCCCGGGACGAACACGGGCTCAGGACCGCAGCAAGGGAGGCGTGGGTATTGAGTGACCGGGGGAGAAATTCTCATTGATTATGTCTGACAATCCCGCGTGGCAAAAGTTGCTTCATCACCCACCCGGCGACTTCAGGGCTGGAGACCGGTTGGCACCGCTGGGTGACCTGCTCGCTGGGGGCGCACTCAGCCCTCACCCCCGGGAGGGGCCGCCGGGCTGGGGACAATGAGGGTGCAGGGGTTCCTGTCCCGGGAGTACAGAACTCTCCCTCCCGGCCTCGGTTTCCCCAAGCTCGGGGACGCAGGCCGGGCCGCGGCTGGGCGGGGGAGCGGCTCCTTTAAGAGGCCCTCCCGCTTCGT